TAGTAAGTTTTAATGATAGAGTTACTTTTTTTCTTTGAAAAAAAAAATTTTTTAACAAATACCTTGTAAATTTCATTACATGATGACGATGATGATGATGACGATGATAAAAACAATAAAGTACGGAAGCACCTAATCCAAGAGTTGCTGAAGAAATCATTAAAAGATGCATTAAAATTTGTCCAGAATTAACATCTGGTAAAGGTGCAGAGTCGTTGGAAATAAAAAGGCATGCTGTTGGATTAAGACCTGCTAGAAAAGGTAATATAAGGCTTGAAGTTGAAATGAGAAAAAACCCTAATGACAAAGACGTTATAGTTTGTCATAATTATGGACATAGCTCATATGGTAAGTATATATCAAGCTCAAATTGATTTTAATTGGTTGGCGAAATCTAATTTGAATTATATATATATATATATATATATAAGGGTATATTTCAAGTTGGGAAACATGTTTAGAAGGTTCGGAATTGATTGAGAAAACACTTGACAAATTAAAACCAAAACAATAAAAAGAAAATTTATTGTATGAATAATAAAAAATACAAAATAAGAATAGTATTATTAAATTATTAATTTTGGAGAAAAAAAAATTTTTGTATATTATAATTAAAAAAGATTATTAAATAAATTATTAGTTCTAAATAAATTAAACAAATTTTCACCAAATATATTATATATTTAATTAGATTTTTTTTTTTTACATTATTAATTAATACAAAAAAAGTTTTTATTTATTTAAATCTGGATGTACAATAAATTCATCTAATGCTTTACCAGCTGGCACCATAGGGTAAACATGTTCATGTTTCTCAATAACAGCGTCACAAATAATAGGTCCTTTATCATATTCTAAAAATTCTGCCATCTTATCAGGTAGTTCATCTTCTGTACGAATTCTTATACCTTTGACGTTCATTGACTGTCCAATATACATATGTGTGTATAGATAGATAGATAGATAGATATATTTACATGTTAATAAAATAATCCAATTGAAATATCAAAATATTAGAAATATTATTTTACCTCTGCAAATTTTACAAAGTCAGGATTATTCATTTCAGTTTGACTATAACGTTCTTCATAAAACAAATCCTGCCATTGTTTCACCATCCCTTGAAAATCATTATTAAGAATTAAAACCTTAACTCCTATATTATAATGAGCAGCTGTCATCAATTCCATTCCTGTCATACAAAAGCTTGCGTCTCCATCAATGTCTATAACAACATTGTCTGGTTTGGCGACTTTGGCACCAATGGCTGATGGTAAACCGTACCCCATTGTGCCCAAACCACCTGAAGTGATCATAGTTCTTGGATACCTCCATCGGAAAAATTGTGCTGCCCACATTTGATGTTGCCCTACACCGGTGGTTAATAACACTTTTTCTTTATAACCTTGTGTTTGTCTGTCTAATTCTTCAATAAACTGTTGTGGTTTTAATGGTTTGTCTGATGACGTTGGTTTAGAATAGGTCCATGGAAATTTTCGTTTCCATTCCTCTATCTGACCAAACCATTCTTTCCTTTCGGATGATTCAATCAATGGAAGAATTTTTCCAAGATTTGTAGCAACATCACCTTCGATTGCTTCAGTTGCCTGAACAACTTTATTAATGTTTTTAGGACTTATCTCAAAGTGAATGATGCCTCCTCTTTTTTCTTTTGCTGCTCTTTTGGCTTCTAAAGCGAAATCTATATTTTTCATATATAATTTTTTTTAAATAAACAGATAAATAAATAAAAAAATGCATAAAAAACAAAAAAGTCATGCATACGTGTTAAACGTCCAGTTACTCTGTCATCAAATCTTGCACCCAACGCAATAATCAAATCAGCATTTTGCATTGCTAAATTTGCATAAGCTGATCCGTGCATACCCAACATGTGTAAACTTCTAGGATCCAATTCGTCAAATGCACCAAGTCCTTGCAGAGTGGTAGTAACTGGAATATTACCACGAGCTGCTAATTCCCTTAGATTAGCGGGTCCTTCATCTGTTGTGAGAACACCTTGGCCTGCATAAATGATAGGTTTATTTGCACCATTAATCAATGCAGCTGCACGTTTAATAAGAGGATCATTTGACAAAGATGATGATAATTTGATGGGGTCACTAAATGCCTTGAAAGGCAATGTGTATTGTGTCGGTATAGGTTTTTTAAGAATGCCAGCTGTTATATCTTTAGGAAGATCAACAAGCACTGGCCCTGGACGACCTGTGGTTGCTATTTCAAACGCTTCAGTAATTCTACGTGGAAGTTCTGCAATATCTTTGACCATTACATTCCACTATTAAAAAAAAAATACACAATAACAATAAAATAACGATTAAAGCATACCATATATTATTAACGTTAATGAATCCAGCCCAACAAACCATATTTACCTTTGTGCAAGCACGACTGATTCCAACAACGTCAGCCTCTTGAAATGCATCAGTTCCAATCGCAGTTGTTGGAACTTGACCACAAAATACTACCAACGGTGTACCATCAGATAAAGCATCTTGCATTGGGGTAACAACATTGGTTGCTCCCGGCCCAGAAGTGACAAGTACAACTCCTGGTTTCCCGCTTGCTCTTGCATACCCTTCTGCCATATGACCCGCTCCTTGTTCGTGCCTTGGTAAAATAAAATCGAAATGTTTTGAATTGTATATGGCATCAAAAACTGGAAGTATAGCACCTCCAGGATATCCAAAAACTTGTTTGACTCCGTGCCTTAACATCATTTCATGAAATATTTGTCCGCCGGTAAGTCCAACAAATGAACTATCGTATGCTTTGGCTGGGGTTTTTGCTGTTTTTGGTGGTGGGATGATTTGTTTTTTTGGCGGAAGTGGAGGAGCGTATGGCGGAACGTGTGTATGTGGACTTTAAAACAAAATCGATCAATAATGTAAATTAAAAAACTTTATTTGGTGGTAATAATAACAGTAACACTTACCTTATAGTACTTGCCTTCCATCTTTTTTGAATAGCTAAAGAAGAGTATATTACGGGACGATTTATTTTTTTGATTGACATGAAATTCATTATTAAAAATTTTTTTCTCTGATAAAATTTATAAATTTGTAACACAAATTTAATGATCTAAATTTAACTAATCTAACCAATCATGCATTAGCATCTTTTGTGCAATTAGTAATTTTAGGAAGCCAAGGTTTTTTTTTGTTGTTGGGCTAACGAAGATGAATTTTTAAACTTGTCAAGGAAAGTCTAGATCTATTCATGCTGAAAAATAAATATCTCTTCCTTTCTCAAGTTAAATTGACCAAGAATATGAATTATATTTGGGTTCTTTTTTGAAAGACCTATTGAAGTTCCCCCAAATAATAATTCAGATAGTAAAAAGTCAAAAGCAACCACAACAAGAAACATGATGAAAACACGGAGCCTATCTTGAAGTGAAAGCAAGATTAATTCGTAATAAGAAATGGATACAGAGAGTCCTGGATTAGGAATTAGATTTATAGAATTCCACTATCCATCTAAGGGGTAATATTATGATCAATTAACTCTTATAATGATCGATGGTACAAAAATCTACTAATTGACAAACTTTAATGTACGATAGAACCGGACATCTGAATCTCAAAATTGATTGCGGAAGCTAGCTCAAATTTCTCGTGATCTGAACAAGGATTATTGATGAAATATGCGTTATAAATCTGTTGGGTGCCTTATCTAAAGTTGGAAAGTTTTGACAGCAAGCATCAGATCTATATGCTGTAAGACAAACAGGCTGTTAACTATTTGAGGTAGCGACAACTGATGGCTAATGAAAAGCAGGCCCAGAATCAGGTTTCATAATTAATATTCACGCACCGATCATTTAAGGGAGGGTGCGATATCTAATTGAGAGGTGTTATAATCAAAGTGTGTGTGCTCGTGTTAGAGCAAAAACTCGCTACATTTTTATTCTACCAATACTTGAACTATAACGGATACCAAATATCTTTTTTAAATAGAAAAAAAAATTATAAAAGTTTAAGGTTTTGCGATTTTTTTTTTTGTCCTTAGCTTTAACAGTACAGAGTTTTTTTGGACTTTGTTAAAATTAATAAAAAAATTGTTATAAAGGCGATTTTATTATATATTTTAACATTAATAGACACTTCCTGACGTGTAATGTAACTTATGAGAAACCCACCCCTTACAAAGCGTTCTTTAAAAAAATTGTCCTTTATATCAAGAACTAACAGTTCTCCCCTAATATATATTTTTCTAAAAAATTGCAAATATATACGGAAATTTCATTAATTGTTAAAAAAAAGTATATTATAAAAACTTTTCCTAGATAAATGAATAAAATAGATTACACATCAATATATTTCCCAATTATCCTACAGAATGAATAGAATAAGTAATAGTAAAAAGATAATAATCGATTTTTTTTAATTTCTTTAATAATGAGATTTGTTGCGCGTGAAATTCAAATTACCTTCATATGCCTTCTTTTATTGTTATTTCCTTATTACTATCATTATTACTATTACCATCACCATCACTACTATCATAGCTACTATTAAATGATTTTCTTTGGATAAAGAAGACGCAAAGAATGAAGAAGATATTAACCATTTAGAATAGCCGGAAGAATCACATAAGTCGTTAAATTTGAAATAGATATTCCGATGGTGATAAATAAGAAGAAAACGAAGGTTTAATGAAAACTTCATTTTCTCCCATTGATCTCATGACTGATACAAATCACAAAGTCGAACAGAAATAACTTGAGAGTTTTATTTAGTTAAAATCGGAAGGAGGAGTTTTAACAGTACTAGCTGATACATGAAACGATTTTACAAAACGTAAGTAATTTGAAAAATTATTAATTAATAATAAATAATATTTATATATTTTTTTCTTATTATAAAAAAATAAAAAATTTACAACCTATTTAAAAATAAAAAACTTAATAATACTAACATCAATAATTATAAATTAAAAAAGTTACAAAAAACATATTTATTATTTGATCCAAAAGTTTATTCCCTAACATAATTACCGGGAAATTCACCTATTTTACTACCAATTTTACCAACCCACCAATCATTTGCACCATCGCCTTTTTCTATTACCTCAATAATATCTCCTTTTTTGAAACTTAAATCTGTTGTTTCTTTGCCTTCAAAATCATACAATGCAGTAACACGACTGACTGGAGTATCTGGAACAGCTTTGTCTATGAATGAAACAGGGACAGATACATTTTGATAATCATTATTATTTACAGACTTGTTTAATGTCATTTGTTCTCTTCTTTTATGATGCCACCATAAGAATACGCCACCCACTATTGCGGCTGCACCAATTATACTTCCTATAATGACTCCTATTAACGCTGCATTATCAGATTTATTAGTATATTGACTTGATGGTTCATTAGAAGCAGTATTATTATTAGTAGAAGTATTAGTACCAGTAGCACCAGGATTAGAAGAACCGCTCGAGGTATCACTTGGGGTGGGACTAGCTGAATTTGTTAATGGTGGTTTTTTTGGTATAGCATTATTACTTCTAATGTGATATACTATAGAAAGCAATTCATCCTTGAGATCTGCTGCTACATCTGAAATCATAATTCCACCAAGTGAGGCGGCGTTTCCATTTCCATTTTCATCACCGGTCATAACATAAAGAACCTTGTTTAGTAAAGATTCTGGATCTTCATATGATATATAAGTACTCTCATTATTATAGATATATGTTGATAAGGTAGTTTTATCGAATATCCTTGTCCAGCCAGCACCTTTTGATTCACAATCACCTGTAAGTATTTTATATTGTTTCAAATTAGTCCATGAAATAGATTTCATACGACTAAGGTCAACGCAACTGTTTATATCTACACTATTTGGAAATGTTAGATATGTAGTGGAAATGTCTACATTTTGAGTTTTTTCTTGCAATGGAGCAATATCATTCACTTTTCTAACTATTCCTGAAAATTCAACGCCCATCACAAGTTTGTTTGCAAAAATACCAGTAGTTTTCCAACCGTCAGTCACTTCTTTAAAAGTTATAAGGTCATTAGTAGTAGGAGGATCATCTTTCTTGGGAGGAGGATCATCTTTCTTGGGAGGAGGATCATCTTTCTTGGGAGGAGGATTATCTTTAAATGGTGAAGTTGGACCTTCTACTTGTTTAGGATATAGTCCAATGTTTAAACGATAACCCTTTTATCGTTATTACAGATGTAAAATATATAAAATCAATATACACCGTCTAGATATTCCACAAAATAATGAATGATACTCTAACTAAACTTACAATTACATTCACCCAGTCTACTAGAGCATTAATGGCTGCTCCTTGTTCGACTAATTTAATACCTTTATAATCATTTGGTCCAAAAGTTGCTGTAATAGTTTTATTAACACCAAGTTGGGCTCTTAATTGTTCTAATACATTTGCAAATAAAACTGGAAGATTAACAGCACTAGGATCGGGAAGAGTACATTCGGTTTGTGGATATTCAATATCAACCTATTTAATAATAATAAAATTGGTGTTATTGAGTAGCCGATAACTAATAATTAAATTTATTTTGCAAACAAAACATATATAAATATAAATTGATACTTACTCCATCTATATCATTAGTTCTAATATGGTTTATGATTGGGTCTGTGAAGCTTTTCTGATCATTGCGAATATTAATCCACAACGTCGCGGTATCTTTACCGTAATTTCCAACTGCTGCAAGAACCTAAATAATCATATTTATTATCATTGATTGATTGAAGGAATTAAAAAAATTTTTATAATTCTTACATGAACTTTTTTACTTGACTTGTTTGCTCTATCAACTAAAGAACTTATATAAGTTTGATCGAATTGATTAGAACCTGATACACTAATCGGCTTGTTAGGGTCAGTAGGGTCAGTAGGGACAGTAGGGACAGTAGGGATAGCGGGAGCAGCGGGAGCAGCAGGAAAGGAAAAAGAAATGTTTGGGTACGCTAATAATACAACAAAAATAATTACAACAAAAAATATATAATAATAATTTATTAAATAAGTAATAAAAATTGTATTAACATACCATAAATTATATCAGTGTAAGCCTCCCAATTTATCATATCCACATTAAGTGGTTCACGAAGAACTCCTACAAGGTGAGAAGTGGCTTGACTTGGAGTTTTAGCAAGCTTTGTACTAATCTTATCATCACATGTTGTATCTTGAGCTGATACATTAGTTGTTATTATTATTGTTTTTATTACTAGTATTAGAAAAGCATACGTTGTAAAGGTTTTTGTTGATATAGAATTATATATTTTCATGATCAATCAATTAGTTAATTAATTATTATTATTATTTTTTGGTGAATATTCTCTACTAAATTAATTATTATAAAATTTAATAATATCTTATTTTTTAAATTCATCAAAAAAATTTTATTTTTTCTAATAATAAATTCATTAAAAATTTATTTGGGTTGAGCGAGACATTTACAAAATATAAATATTGTTATTTTGGTTTTTATATTTTCACAAACCTTTATGAGCTTTCCAAATTAAATACAAGTGTAATAAATAAATACACAAAAAAATTTTTAAAAATGAAAAATTCAATTTGGTAGGGATTTTTCCTGTATTACAATAAATTATTACCTAAAAAAGATGGGCGGGAACACAATTTACAAGTCAAACCTGCAACAAAACCCAACAAAGTGAGTATTGTACTACAAATGGTTTCAGGACTAGTGTCAGGTTAAAAGTGGGCTGGCTTCTCAATATTTTTTACATGAAAAACTATATATGTATTTAAAAAATAAACTCGTCCAATTTTCGGCTATTAATAAAAAATAGTTTGGACCTATAAAAAATTAATTTTTGCCCAGTGTTTCGGCAATTTCGGCTACTAAAAATCACGTACATGAATCCCAATCTGACGTACCGAATATAAAAAGTTTTCCTGAAGAAAAAAAAAAGATTTTTATATGAGTGGGATAAAATTACTATATTTTTGTTTTACTGAATTTGGTGTTCTGCAAAAGGATGAAAGATTCGTTATAGAGAGAGTGAACTGTAGTAAGTGGGAAACTACTACAGTACACTCTCTCTATAACGGCCCTTCTGTTTTGGCAAAAAATGACCGTTATAGAGAGAGACCGTTATAAGGAATTTGCAGATCTTAATCATGTGATAAATTATTTTTATTTATAATAATAAAAACGTAATAATAATAATATAATAATACAAAAACGTATACATTAAAAATTAAAATATTATTGCTAATTCTAATTCATCATGTATCAAGAAAAATATCTAATGTTGTTTGTTGATATGAATCAAAATCAATTTTTTTATTTTCTTTTAAGGCTTTTTAATAATTTAAATTCGTTCTCACTTAATTGTAACTTTTCAGATTGTTGTTCAATGTAAATATCTAATATTTTTATTGCTGACAAAGCTTCTTTATTTGTAACAGGTGGAGATTCTTCAATTGTTTCTTCTTGATTTTGGTCTTCCTCAGTTGGATTAATTATCGAAATTATGTCTTGTAAATTTATTTCTTCATTTTCATCATTAGTTTTTTCGATTTCAATGTATTCAGATGCAGATATAGGATTATTAAATGCAAGTTCATCAATCAAATTCTGCAAATTATTGAGTTCTTCTACATTCAATGAACCTAAAATTGATGTCGCATTTTCAATTTCATTATCAACATCAGGTAAAATACCAGTTTTTTTCCAACAGTTAATTATAGTTTGACTTGTAACTTTTTCCCAAGCTTTTGCTGTATATTTAATTGCATGTTTAATTGAAATTTTTTCAGGTTCTTGGCCATTGCTTTCTTCTCCATAATCACTAATTTTTTTTTGTAAAAAAAATTTTTTGTAATTTGCCTTAAAGCTATTAATTATTCCAGCATCACATGGTTGCAAAAATGCTGTTGTATTTGGTGGTAAAAAGTGGACTCTTATGTTAGTTAAATTTATTGATTCAGAAATTGAATGGGTAGGAGCATTATCTAATAATAGTAAAATGTTTCTATTCTGTTTCATCATTTCATTATTTAAATCTTTTAGATAATCATTAAAGATGGAGGTTTGCATCCATGCTTTAATATTCCAATAATATTTCACTTTCAAGATATCTTTATTAATCTTTCCAATTGCTCTTGGATTTTGATATTTATGGATCAAAAGAGGTTTTAGTTTTTCTGTTCCATTGGCATTACAAGTTAACATTATAGTAATTCTTTCCTTCGATTTTTTTCTTCCAGCTACTTGCCCTGTAGACAATACTCTAGAAGGTTCTAATTTCCAGAATAAGCCAGTTTCATCTGCATTGAAAATATCAGATAATTGATATTGGCTTGTAATACTTTTAATCTGTTCTCTGTATGTTGGTAACTCCGAAATAGGGGCACTACCAGCTTCACCATGTTTTACATATTCTTTAATATTATGCCTTTCTTTAAATCCACTAAACCAACCTTCTGATGCCTTAAAATCATTTTTATTAAGAAGCTCAGCAAAATTCATTGCCTTTTCCTTTAATATATTACCACTAAGATCTAAATGTGCATCAAGTGCTTGCTCCATCCAAATAGCTAATGCTTGATCAATATCATCATATAATAAATTTCTTCTTCTCTTTTTATTAGCATCATAAGATTCATTGTCAATCGCAAGCCATTTTTCTTTTTCTTTTAAAATATCACCAACAGTACTTTTGCCAATATTATAAGTATTTGCCAGTTCTTTATTTGTGAGAAATGGTGATGTCTGTTTGGTTAAACAAATTTCTTTTTTTTGTAAAGCAGTTAAAGATTTTCTTTTACTTAAAGACATTGTGGATTAGGGTATTAATCAGAGTATAATAATAATTTAAATTCTTTATTAAAGATTTTATGAACAATACAATTTTTTTAGTGTTTTTCAGATCAAAAAATTTATAATAGATTTGATGCAAATTGGGGTCTTTATATATTTTTGGAGTATTAACATCATGAAGTCATGGAGGCAGTTCTTATGTCGCATTTACCAACATATTTTACATATTCCATCATTCTTATTTCATTATTACTTCATATTGTAATTATTCAAACAACTTTCATCATTGCTTGTAATCGAAGAATCATAGTTAACATCATTATGACTTGGATTCATAATATGGGGCATGCTGCAACAAAACAAGACAAAGTGAACATTGGTGTTACCAAAAATTTCAGGGATCAATATTGTTTGTTTAACATTACAATTGTATTACCAATGTAATGTGATTATGATATTTGTCTAGACAAAAATAGTTAATATGAAACTCATTTACATTAGGTCTACCATGGAACCAAAGAATTATAGTACTATTAGAAGTATTTTGAAGAAAGAACAAGGTGAAAAAATTGCTCCTTATATTTTTAAATTAGCAGATACCAAATCTTTGCAAACATATTTAGACAAAGAAAAGATTACTTATGAAATTTACCAAGA